GAGTTCGTGCACCAGCCAATCAGCGAAGAGCCAGACATTCTAAGTGTGTGCAACGATTCCTGAGATCGAGGATTTAAAGCCGGAACAGAGAGAATGTTTGGTGAATTTTATCAAGAGGAAAGACGTTATTGCCCTTCTTCCTACAGGATTTGATATAATATACCAGTTAGCACCGTTAGCGGCACATTACATACGTCACGACCAAATAGCAGTGATTGGTTAAATGAAAAAAAAAGTACCTGCTTACTGTCAAGTGAACAAATTCTATCTCTGCGAGGTCAGGCGTTTTCTACGAAGTGAAATTGGCTGAGGAATCAGGCTCCCCTGTCCCAGCAGATTTCTCCAAAACTAGTGATTTGTCCCAGTTTTATACAAGAAATGCCCCAGGTGTCCCTATTTTTGACCAATTTGTTCCCTGCCAGCAGTAAAGAGAGGCATAAACTGTCATTTGTTTAGGTAAAATACAAAAAATGAACAAGAACCACAAAGAAAATGTGACTATACTGACTCTTATACTGACTTAATTACGCACTTGTTTCACAATTTTATTATTACCAACCACCAAAAAAATGGGGATGTCCCAGTTTTTATTTTGAAATTCTGATCACCCTACCTTCAAACATGTGAAAAACTATTTCTGGCATATTTTGCAGTGGTCCAAAGTTATTCATCACTTATTTTAGGCATTCTGAACATGAGTTTACAAGCATTCTCCGCAACTTTTAGAGACTACAGTGGAATTTCGGGGTCACAGCAGGCCTGGACTGGTAATCGGGCATACCGGGCATTTTCCCTGTGGGCTGATGGGCCTTTGTTGTTTGTTTTTTCTTTTAGAGACAGGCCTACAATTTAGAGGGAGTGGCCCATTGGTCCATCTTCAATATAGACAGTGGACTAAACCAATCAGGATATAGTAGCCTATGAAAGTGGCCCCACCCCTTACCCCCTGCACTGATCCACGCCAGTTTCATAGTGTTGAGCGAGGAAACATGGAGAAAGAAGTTGCGGGCTAACTGATTGAAGAATTTCGCTGCGAAATGTGCGAAAATAACAAACATGTTCTCTGGAGGGGCTGCTGTAGTCTCCATGTCTTCTGCAGCTCAGGTTGTTGAAAGTGAAGACCGCAGCAGTGGACAGGGAGAGGAGCAGTCAGAGATTATTGACAGAGAACCCGAGGGACAGAGTGACCAGGGAGGTGCAGCACAGGCACAGCAGGTAAACAGGTAGTAACGTTAGATTAGATCAGAGTGATACTGTCAACACGGCAGGGAAGGGACCGCCCTCGGTCAGAATCGCCTTGAGGGACCTCTGTGTGTCACTGGCAGCTGATCCCATGGCCCGGGAAAGTGGGCTAGAGGAGCTGTAAAGCATTTACAGACAGAATTTTCTGTCCTGCTCCCACCCGCACCCGCATTGTGCAGTCTCAACCGCACCCGCAAAGAATTGTAATTTTCATTCCCGCTCCCGCCCGCATCTGCGATATTTTGTTCGGCTCCCGCCCACAAATCCCGCAAGATGGCGATATTCACTTTCTTAAGCTCTATCAAACACGGAGAAGAGGAAAGAAATTGTCTAAAATTTGCATGAGATTAGGCCACATCTGCAAGTTTTTATTAATGCCAAATAAAATATCCAGCACAGATTATGTATGATAGGCCTACGTTAATCATTTGTATATTTTACTTTACACTCGTATTTAGTTTGTGGAACTGCAGTTTATCATCCCACCCGCCTTCTCCCGCATTGTGCAGTCCTGCTCCCGTGCGCCCGCAATGAGCTTTCAAAATGTATCCTGCTCCACACAGTTTTGCGTCGGGTCCCACAGGAGTGCAGTCCTCTACCGTCGGATCAACTAAGCTCTTTCATGGAGCTCTTTCAGCCCCCGGATGTCTGTAGGTCTAAATCAGGTCTGAACCAGGTCTAAACCAGGACTGAATCAGGTCTAAATTAGGTCTGAACCATATCTAAACCAGGACTAAACCAGATCTGAATCAGGTCTAAACCAGGTCTGAACCAGGTCTAAACTAGATCTGAATCAGGTCTAAACTAGGACTGAATCAGGTCTATATTAGGTCTGAGCCAGGACTAAACCAGATCTAAACCAGGTCTAAACCAGGTCTAAACCAGATCTGAATCAGGTCTAAACCAGGTCTGAACCAGGTCTAAACTAGATCTGAACCAGGTCTGAACCAGATCTAAACCAGGTCTAAACCAGGACTAAACCAGATCTGAATCAGGTCTAAACCAGGTCTGAACCAGGTCTAAACTAGATCTGAACCAGGTCTGAACCAGATCTAAACCAGGTCTAAACCAGGACTAAACCAGATCTGAATCAGGTCTAAACCAGGTCTGAACCAGGTCTAAACTAGATCTGAACCAGGTCTGAACCAGATCTAAACCAGGTCTAAACCCTAAACCAGTCTAAACCAAATCTAAACCAGATCTAAACCAGGTCTGAAACCAGGTCTAAACCAGATCTAAACCAGGTCTAAACCAGATCTAAACCAGGTCTAAACCAGATCTAAACCAGGTCTAAACCAGGTCTAAACCAAATCTAAACCAGATCTAAACCAGGTCTGAACCAGGTCTGAACCAGATCTAAACCAGATCTAAACCAGGTCTAAACCAGGTCTAAACCAGATCTAAAAGATCTAAACCAGATCTTCTAAACCAGGTCTAAACCAGGTCTAAACCAGGTCTAAACCAGGAACCAGATCTAAACCAGAGGTCTAAACCAGGTCTAAACCAGGTCTAAACCAGATCTAAACCAGGTCTAGTCTAAACCAGGTCTAAACCAGGTCTAAACCAGATCTAAACCAGATCTAAAACCAGATCTAAACCAGATCTAAACCAGGTCTAAACCAGATCTAAACCAGATCTAAACCAGGTCTAAACCAGGTCTAAACCAGGTCTAAACCAGATCTAAACCAGATCTAAAACCAGGTCTAAACCAGGTCTAAACCAGGTCTAAAACCAGGTCTAAACCAGATCTAAACCAGATCTAAACCAGATCTAAACCAGATCTAAACCAGGTCTAAACCAGATCTAAACCAGGTCTAAACCAGGTCTAAACCAGATCTAAACCAGATCTAAACCAGGTCTAAACCAGATCTGACCCAGGTCTAAACCAGGTCTAAACCAGGTCTAAACCAGATCTAAACCAGGTCTAAACCAGATCTGAACCAGATCTAAACCAGGTCTAAACCAGGTCTAAACCAGATCTAAACCAGATCTAAACCAGGTCTAAACCAGATCTGAACCAGATCTAAACCAGGTCTAAACCAGGTCTAAACCAGATCTAAACCAGGTCTAAACCAGGTTTATCCAGATCTAAACCAGGTCTAAACCAGATCTAATCCAGGTCTAAACTAGGTCTAAACCAGGTGAAATCCAGGTCTAAACCAGGTCTAAACCAAGTCTAAACCAGGTCTGAACCAGATCTAAACAATTATAATTCTACTAGTTATTATTAGTAGTATGAGTAATGAGCAAAAGATGTTCATTTTGTCTTCTTATATACTTTAACTTCTTGGGTTCTTTTTAAAGACAATGCAGTAAAGTGTGTTTACCTTGTTGACATGTTTCGGCTGCTAGCTGCAAGCCATCTTCTCATCTCAGGACACTTCTGAAGATGGCTTGCAGCAGCAGCCGAAACATGTCAACAAGGTAAACACACTTTACTGCATTGTCTTTAAAAAGAACCCAAGAGGTTAAAGTATGAGTAATGATTTACACAGTTTGTTTACTATTTACGATTTACCTGAGCATTCCCTGAGAACACGTACATAAATTAGTCGGTCATGCTCTACTATTTATGAGGGGCCGGTCTAAGACAAAAATGCCAAGGCTGTTTTTTTTTTTTTGTTCCAGTCCAGCTCTGGGTCACGAGAATGCTAACAACTAGTAAGGTAACGTGCACTTCGTGATTATCGGACAATGCTTTCTAATTGAATGCAGATTGTACACAGTGGACTTATTCTGACCTCAAGAGCTGCTTAAACATCAGGTATTTAGAGGCTGTACCTACTTTTTGTTTAGTCGATTTTGTCCTGCCCCCAGACATTTTGTGTAAGTAGCTTTTAGGGTCAAAATGAGACCACTGTGTACTATCTTCATCAAATTATAAAGTCCTGCTGTAATCCTGGTTCAGTCCCAGTTCAGTCCTGGTTCAGTCCTAGTTTAGTCCTGGTTTACTTCTGGTTCAGTCTCAGTTCAGTCTGTGTTTTGTCTCTGTTCTGTCCTGGTTTAGTCCTGGTTCAGTCCTACTTTTAGTCCTGGTGTAGTCCCAATTTCAGTCCCGGTTCAGTCCTGGTTCAGTCCTTGTTTTAGTCCTGGTGTAGTCCCGGTTTCAGTCCTGGTTCAGTCCTGGTTTAATCCTGGTTCAGTCCTGGTTTACTCTCGGTTCAGTCCTAGTTTAATCCTGGTTCATTCCTGGTTTAGTCCTGGTTTAGTTCCTGGTTCAGTCCTAGTTCAATCTTGGTTTAGTCCCGGTTAAATCCTGGTTCAGTCCTGGTTTAGTTCCGGTTCAGTCAAGGTTTAGTCCTGGTTTAGTCCCAGTTTAGTCCCAGTTTATTCCCTGTTCAGTCCCGGTTTAATCCCGGTTCAGTCCCGGTTTAGTTCTGGTTTAATCCCGGTTTAGTCCCGGTTCAGTCCTAGTTCAATCCTGGTTCAAACCTGGTTCAGTCCTGGTTTAGTTGCGGTTCAATCAAAGTCCTGGTTTAGTCCCTGTTCAGTCCCGGTTTAGTTCCGGTTCAGTCCTAGTTCAACCCTGGTTTAGTCCTGGTTCAGTCCTGGTTTCAGTCCTGGTTCAGTCCTGGTTCAGTCCTGGTTCAGTCTGGTTCAGTCCAGGTTTAGTTCCGGTTCAGTCAAGATTCAGTCCCGGTTTAGTCTCGGTTTAGTCCCTGTCCAGTCCTGGTTCAGTCCTGGTTCAGTCCTGGTTTAGTCCTGGTTCAGTCCCGGTTCAGTTCCAGTTTAGTCCTGATTCAGTCCTGGTTCGGTACCTGTGTCGATGATGCCGGGGTTGGAGTGGAACCATGTGGGCAGCACCAGACCGCTGAAGGTGGAGAAGCCGAGGATCAGCAGGTTACGAGACGAGTTCAAGTCCACGTACTGAAAAACACAACAACATCAAATATTAGAGACTGTGAGAAGGTTCAAATACACAAATACACCGTATGTTCTACTTATTTCACTGATATAGACCTATTATAATCATAGACTGTGTAGAGAAGTGGACTAAGGGAGTGTGACGTCACCCACAGTGTGCGGCTTCAGTCAAATGAAGCTCACTGAGGCCAGTTATAAAGGCAAATTTGCGTTTCATATTAGCAATGGGAATTGAGTAATGGAAAAAACAGTGAAATAAAAAGACCAGGATCATGTAGCAGCCGTTAACAGTTTAACAGTTTGCCTGGAATAGGCTCTGTGCTCAACAGCAGCTGGTGCCTTCTGCTCAGAGATACAGTGTGTGACCATTTCTGCTCTAATGTCATCCCTATGAGGTTTTAGTTGCAAATCACAAAATCAAACAGATCAGAGAGTGAACAGAGAGCTGCTGGTGGGTGTCACTGACAACATGTTGTTACGGGCCCCGGCCCTGTGATATTTGTTTAAAGTACTCCCGTTCTTCTTTAATTGCTTTTGTCTGCGCATGATGCTCCCGGTCCGCGAGCCCTGGACCCGGATGCGCGGGAGTACCCGACGTGGGACGGAGGCTGGCGTCGCAGCGCGTCAGCGATTGGCCCTTCATCCCTGCGCTTCCACCAATCCGTGGATGACACCTGTGATAGCGGGGGATTGAAAAGGGACCATCTTCCGCCTGCTCGAGGCGGCTGGATCACTGCGGCCAGCTCGCCACTTTTGTTTGATGTTGGGTTGTCTCTTTGTGTTATATTGCCGGCTTTTGCCTCGTTTAGTTCGTGAGACACCTTTGTTTTTGTTCGCAGTACATCTTGAGTAGATTTGGTACCTTGTATTTAGTTAGGGCTCTTTAGTTTATTAGATTATTTTGTTTAACTCCTATTTATTTTTCACCTTAATTGCCTGTTTTTTTGTTTGTCTTCCCTTACACTGTAAATAATAAATGCACAATTTTTAGTTAAACCTTAACATCCTGGTTTTCTTGTTACTTCCCTTTCTCCCCTAGCAAAGGGGACGTAACACATGTTAAACACTTTACAAATTAGGAGAAAACTTCACTGGAGGACACTTCTGTTTTTACAAAGGGACGTCTTTGTGTCGATGTCAGTACTAATGCTAACTTTTATTAAAACTAACATAACATAATGAAATGTGTAGTCAAGATTAGGGCTGGGCGATATGGATCAAAAAATATATCTCGATATATTTTGCTATATCTCGATATACGATATATATCTCGATATCTGTACCGGAAAAAATAATCCCCTAAAACGGAAAACTGCAAAAACAAATATGCCAAATTCCACAAGGTCTTTTTTAAAAAATTAAAGTGTAAGAGGTCGGCAGTTCATATAGGAACATTTAAGATTACAAAAAACCCTAATTACATAAATAATAATTTAACTGTCAAATAAAAGAAATAAAACATATTTCCTTTGTTTCATTCATAAATAAAACAACTCAACTCAAGCTCATCTTTGCATTAACTCTGTTATCCAGACCATAACCAGAACCATGAGCTCCTTTAACAGAAGAAGCTCAGGATGTTCCTTATTTTAACAGATCCATGTTATTATCCAGCAGTAAGGAGCTCTGAGGTTTAATCTCACAATCCACTGCAGATCAAACCCAACGTTTCCAAACACTTCTGTACAGGTGACACTGCAACAGATTATTCATTAAAATCTTCTGCATAAATAGAATTTACATTGCTAAACTTTACAAGATATATAGCATAACGACTCAAGAGCCACATCAGCCCGTTTGAGATTATAGTGTTAATTATTTTATTTTATGTTATTTATTTATTTTTTTTGCAGCTTTGCGCAGACTTGTTTATGTTTTACAGAAACGAAACTTAAAAAGCGCATGGCTAATTTGCATAAACAGCGCACTCCACGTGCAGCTCTTGCGGTTCAACTTCTTTTGGACTAAAGGACATGACTCGGTGGAATATGAGGATGTGCTCCTGATGATTTTGTTTGTAAATGGTGGAAAAGTTTCGTGGCGCTAGAAGCTTTTCACTGGCAGCAACTTTCGGCGTTCATGGCGATAGTGAGGAGTGAAGGAGACACGAGCGAACAAATCAGGGAGGCGAGGGCGTGCGGGCGACGACAGAGAAGACAAACAAGCAAAGCGGCGAAATCAAAAGTGAATATAAGCATTATATCGATATATACGATATGTCAGAATTCATATCGAGTTTTTTAAAAATCTCGATATATTAAAAATATCGAGATATCGCCCACCCCTAGTCAAGATGATTATTTGTTGATTGATGATTATTCAACATCTTATAGCATCTCACTGCTACACCGGACTTTTGCGCCACATAACGAACTGAAGCAGGTCCAGGACCAGACCAGAACCAGCCCGGGACTGAGACCAGGACTTAGACCAGGACCGGAACAAGGACTGAGTCCAGGACCAGGACTAGGACTTAGACCGGGACCATACCAGAACTCAGACCAGGAGTGAAACAGGGACCAGGACCAGGACTGAGACTGGAACCAGACAGAGACTGAGACCGGGACCAGATCGGGACCAGACCAGGACCAGACTGGGACTGAGACTGGGACCAGACTGGGACCAGACCAGGACTGAAAACAGTTTAGTCCTGGTTTAGACCTGGTTTAGTCTTAGTTTAGTCTTGGTTCAGTCCATATGCGGCGCAAAAGTCTGGCATCTCAGTTTAAGTCACAGAAACAGGAAACGGCCGTTATCTGTTTTTTCCATTAATCATTTAAACATAAAACCGAAAACTGAAAAAACAAATCGTTATCTGTTTTTTTCATTTTGGTTTTGGAGACAAATAATGAAGAAAATTGTTTTTTCGTTTTCTTATTTTTGGTTTTATATTGAAAAACAAATGAACGAATGATACACAGATTCGTAGTGCACAAAGCCAACTGATTTAAGAACGTAGGGTATTTTTGTAGGAAATGTGGATATCTTCATGGGCCCTCCACATCAGATCTTACCTGGGGCCCTTTAAGCACATAGAGTATGTGAGTGTTGTGTCATGAATCCCACTGCATCACTCCACACACAGATCTGTGGATTAGTCACACTCTCTCTCTCATGACTCAGCCTCTTCAGTAGTAAACGTGGACAGTCTTGTCTCTGTGACTAACACAGTTTAAACCTGATCCACTGTCCTCTGTCCCTCTGTCCCATTCTGTGCTCTGAAAGCCCACGTCCCTGTAGGATCAGACACTAAAGACGCTTTCAAATGAGAGAAACCGGTCTGGATAATACACACAGGTGGTAGTACTCATCATATTTACTCACTGCATTTAAAGTGACAGTATGAAACTTTCTAGAGGTGGAAAGGGTGCATGTTTTTCTCAGCTTTTCAGTGATATAAAAACATACAGTATTTGAGTTTGAGAAAGTGCTGCAGAGTTAAGTTCTCGTACATGAACAGGCGCTGCGTTCCACATTTGACCTGCTCAAAAGAAAGAATTTTTTTCATAAATTTTTACTTCTTGTATAGTTTTTATCTACTTTTTAACATCTGAACAAAGAATTAAAATACCCCCTCTTCAACGTCTTTTTTCTGCTCTTTGGTTGTCATTTTTAGTGCAGTAATTCTCAAAATTCTGTATAGATATATTTGATCTTGGGTTACACTGATTGGTATTTTTCCTAGTAACATGATTTCGGGGTTTTATTTCACATTTCTTTTAATATTTTCAAAAAAAGTAAGAGCTGTGAGGAGTCTTTGTGACGCCCCAGAGCGGAGTCAAGTTTCAGGACAAAGCAGATGAACCAAAGAGACAATCACAGAGGACACACGGGGACATGAGGGACTGGACTCATTCAGGACAGACCCGCCCCCTCACTCTTCTCTCACTCTTTACTCACTCTTCTTTCACTCATTCATTTACTTCTCTCTCACCCACTCCTTTCTCATTCCTCCCTCACTCTTTATTCACTCTTCTTTCACTCATTCCTCTCTCTCTCTCTTCACTCACTCCCCTCTCACACCTCGCTCATTATTCTCACACTTCTCTCTCTCCCACACTTCACTCCTCCCTCAATCTTTTACTCCTCTCACTCACTACTCTTATTCTTCTCTCACTCCACTCTCCCACTCTTCACTCATTCCTCTCTCAGTCTTCTCTCACTTCTCTCTCTCACTCTTCACTCACTCACTCCTCCCTCATTCTTCTCTTACTTCTTTCTCTCATTCTTTACTCATTCTTCTCTCACTTCTCTCTACCTCCCACTCTACACTCACTCCTCTCTTTCTTCTCTCACTCCTCGCGCTCTCACTCTTCACTCACTCCTCTCTCTCACTCTTCACTCACTCCTCTCTCTCTCTCACTCTTCACTCACTCCTCTCTCTCACTCTTCACTCACTCCTCTCTCTCACTCTTCACTCACTCCTCTCTCTCACTCTTCACTCACTCATTCTTCACTCACTCCTCTCTCTCACTCTTCACTCACTCCTCTCTCATTCTTCACTCATCTCTCTCTCTCACTCTTCACTCACTCCTCTCTTAATCTTCACTCACTCCTCTCTCATTCTTCTCTCACTCCTCTCTCATTCTTCACTCACTCCTCTCTGTTACTCTTCACTCACCCCCTCTCACTCCTTTCCCATTCCTCTCTCACTCTTCACTCACTCCTCTCTGTTACTCTTCACTCACCTCCTTTCCCATTCCTCTCTCACACTTCACTCACTCCTCTCTCATTCTTCTCTCTCTCACTCCACTCACTCCTCTCTCTTACTCTTCACTCACACTTCTCTCATTCTTCTCTTACTCCTCTCTCTCTCACTCTTCACTCACTCCTCTCTCATTCTTCTCTCACTCCTCTCTCTCTTACTCTTCACTCACTCCTCTCTCTCACTCTTCTCTCCCTCTTCTCTCATTCTTCTCTCATTCCTCTCACTCTTCACTCACCCCTTTCCCATTCCTCTCTCTCTCTTCACTCACTCCTCTCTCATTCTTCTCTCACTCCTCTCACTCGTCACTCACTCACTCACTCACTCATCTGTCACTCCTTTCCCATTCCCCTCTCACTCTTCTGTCACTCCTCTCTCACTCTTCATTCACTCCTATTCTTCTTCCTCGTCTCCTACTCTTCTCTCACTCCTCTCACTCTTCACTCAGTCCTCTCTTTCACTCTTCACTCACTCATTCACTTCTTTCTCACTCCTTTCCCATTCCTTAATCACTCTTCACTCAATCTTCTCTCTCGTACTCCTCGCTCATTATTCTCTCACTTCTTTCTCCTCCACTCCTTTCTCACTACTGTCCCCTTTCACTCACTCATCTCTCATTCCTCTTTTCTCGCTCCTCCTTTCCCATTTCTCCCTCACTCATCTCTTACTCATTGCTCACTCATCTCGCTCTTCACTCATCCTCTCCCACTCCTCACTCTTCTCACACTCCTGCCTCACTCCTCCTCTTTCACTTCTCACTCCTCTTTCACGTAAAAGGTGTGTTTTGCTGTGTTAAATTTACTCCTCACGTTCCTGAATATTTGGACGCCCACAGATGTACTTCCGACTATTTGATCAGAATATTTATTTTGTGAAAAACACGCAGAAGGAAGCTCATCGTGCATTTGTGGAGGGAAAGATGTCTGCTTTTCTTTCAACTGGATGTAACAAAAGTTTGATTTTTCAGCTTGTTCCTCTGAGGTGATGCTTCCACCAATCAGATTCAAAATGCGATGTTCCACTTTTCCCTGATCTCAGTGAGAGCCGTTCCAGGTAATATAACTGTGTACAACTCAATATACTCAGACACAGTACAGATCTCTCGTCTCCTTTCCTTACTGAGTTACGACTGCCACTCTTCTCTGCTGCAGTGCTCTGTGGGATTCATGGTTCCTGCAGAGACCTCCTCAGATCCTCGTTAGGCGGAGGCTCAGATCTGGACTCTGGTTTAAGCGTTCGCAGCTGGAGAGGTGGTCTTAACTTTCCGAAAAGAGAAAAACAAAACTTGGGAGCAGGTTGAGAGGTGGAGCAGGTGCAGGGGAGCGCAGGCCAGGAGCATAACTGTGAGAGATGGGGTCTGTTGGTGGAGGTGACGGAGCGTGGGGAGGAGGAGGAGGAGTGTAATGAGGCCACTGCAGAGAACTGATCAGTGCTGTACTCTGTCACACCACGCTCTACTAATGATGTTTATGATGTTTATGATACTAATGATGTTTTTTTTTTGTTTTTTTTATATGTATATAATTTTATTTGCATTGTATATACATTACAGAATATAGGAACCAAGATACAAGACAAACATTAAGATCAATAGGACAATAAGTACAAAGGTGATAGGGGCTGGTGACAGTGTGGACATTATAATATTCGGATGCTTTACTGCTGACTTGTTAATGTGGGTATTGAAAGTAAATTAAGTATTAAATGGAGCTTTGCCGCAGATCTCCACTCAAGTATGGAGCAGGCTGATCCATGCCCACGTCCTCCACGGCACCACCAGAGCCCTGCACGCAACCGCCCATGCACCATAGGCTGTATAAAAGAAATGGATTAAGCGAGTGTGAGGTAACCTATAAGGTTCAGCGCCGCTCAAATGAGGCTTGCAATGCTCACGGTTACAGGGGCGAATCTGGAGCCAGGCTCTATGTTATGAATAGGATTTTTTGACTGACAAAATAGCTGAAAAAAAAAATCAGGATCATGTGTCACGGGTTAATAAGAACATTTTAAGACCAAAATGATGAGGCTCACTGCAGCAGTTACAGAGAGAAGGATGACAAAATCCTAATGTGAGTCAACTGGAGCTAGGGTCAGAAGGAGCCGAAAGAGCCTCCTGGCAAACTTCCTATTTGGCACGTGGCGGCTAGCGAGTTAGCTATGTCCATATATATATATATACTGTCTATGGCATGCACGCACCTGCCTGCACAGGAACATACATGCACATCCACATGCACACAAGCACAAACACTCAGGCACACATTCACACTCACGAACCCACACTCATCCATGGGCGACTTGTGGTGCATTAAAAAGTTGGCTGTGATGCATTAAAAGTATCAGGGAGGTAAGGAGCTTGGAGGTAGACCAGAGAGGGGAGCCAGAACAGAGAGGAGAGCATGAGCCTGGGCACCTGTAGGTAGAACCCCGCACTCAACAATCAGATGTACATGTTTCTGCTAGAGCAGTATTCAGAAGACCTTTTTTTGGCATTTCGTGCCAATGAGCAGAGACCATTGAAAACAACACAAAGCCATCTTTGATTCATCTTCCTCAGCACTGTTGGGCAAGTTACTTTAAAACTGTAATGTGTTATTTATTACTTATTACTGTCATTTCAAAGTAATTTGTTACATTACAATATTACTGCATTTAAAATGTAAGGCATTACATTACTATTGCATTACTTTAAGTTACTCTCACCAAAATAACAGCGAAAAAGCTGAACTTTTGAGCCGTATATGGACTGAACCAGGACTAAACAAGGTCTAAACCAGGACTAAACCAGAGCTGAACCAGGACTAAACCAGGACTATAACAGGACTAACCTCAGACTGATTCCAGGACTGAAGAGGAGGACTAAACCAGAACTGAACTAGGACTAAAACAGGACTCACTGTCAGGACGGGCTCGAAGGAGACTGCAGGAGAAAGGAGCGGCTTTGCTCCGCACCTCATGGAGGTAAGAGCGGCTGTCACCCGATCACGCTTTATGGACACCCTGCTGCTCAGGCTCACGGTCCTGATTTCAGCAACTATTTGCGGGTACAAGACCCGGTGCAAGACTCTGCTACAGCGCGTAACTTCTACCTTCCTTCAACGTGTCCAGAAGTCCAACTTTTTGTGCGATGGTTTGCATCGTCCTCTGTCTTTTGGGTGTGAGCGCAGGAGACTTTGTCGGTGCAGAACATTTCGTCGACGTTGTGGATTTTGTCGGAGAGAAAACTTGCAGACATACAGCACTTCAGAATCACACTGCTAGAGATTGAACATTTATTTAAATTAGGCAGCTGAACACATTCTGTACTGTACTGTTCAGGAGACAGGAGTCCCTTGGCCAGTCAGCGGGAGGAACGCAATACGTGTTCATATACTAAAAACAAAAGGCATGCAAAATTGCACAAAAAAAATAATAATTAAAAATCAGCGAAACAGCGAGACCGCGAAAAGTGAATCGCGTTAGAGCGAGGGACGACTGTAAACCAGGTCTAAACCAGAAGTGACCAAGGTCTAAACCAGGTCTAAACAGCGTAGAGTTCTGGGTCGGTCCTTTCACCCGCGGTTAACTGAAGGTCTATCCGGCCGCGTCTCCGGCGTTTCACCGCTGCTGATTTCACGGTGATTTTAGTGAATTTCTATGAAGAAAAACCCACCACTTCAATCCAGGTTAAAAAAGCATTGTAACGCGCGTTACTCACATTTGTACCGAGTAAAATATTACAATTTTTCCCCCTGTAATGCCTTACATTACTGCGTTACAGCAAAAATCAACGCATTACTGTAATACATTACTTTTATAATACATTACTCCCAACACTGTTCCTCAGACATACTCCTCTGTTTAGCATGTGCTCTACAAACTCAGCGCTAAAAATCAAAGTGAACTAGCTCTGCCTTTAGGATCTATTTTATGACACAGTTTAGTGGACGTATTTCTCCGCTCATACATTCTTCAGTGACACAAACTAGTGCTAGCACTGGAAGCAGGTGCGTGGCCTCAGGGACATAAAAGTACAGGACATCGGTGTGGCGCATGATTCTGTACCTGGAGATTGGATATTCCCACGGCAGCGATCATTCCAAACATAACCAGAAACATGCCTCCGATCACAGGGTCTGGGATGGTGATAAAAACCGCTCCGAACTTTCCGAAAATTCCCAAAACGATCATGAGGAGCCCGGTCGCCTGCAGGACCAATCGGCTGCCGACCTGAGGAGAAAGGGAAAGTGGATGTTAGGGTCCGTGGGGGATCATTTATGAGAGAATTACTTAGAGTGTGATGGGTGAGCTGCAGGACATGACCACAGGCTGTTGAACAAATGTTATGTTCTGACAGCGCTCACGTCTGTTAAAGAGGTTTTACAAGGCTACATCACAAATCACAATTGTATTAGGTTTTCAGGGGTTTAAGTGTTCTGTTTTGTTTAATTTAAATTCACTGTCATAAGTGAGGATGTTCTGTTTGGATAAATGGACGAAATTTATGTACATGACCCAGTTTATAGAGGGATATACATCAGCCAACTTCTATATTAAGGCCTGTACCAGACTTTTATTTATTCTTGTCAAGATAAAACTCTTTACATCATGTGTTGTACAGTCAAAACTAAAAATTGCTAAATAGGAAAAACAATATCTGTTATTTTTTACATAGCATTTTCTCAGGTTTATTAGGTAGACCCAATTGTTAGCAGGGTCCTTTTACGCAGCGTTGTCGTGAGCATTAAAACACAGTACACTTCGTATTCTCTTTTTGTGTGGTTACCCCATTCTCCACGGACACACACTTTTATTCACAGGTGCAGGCCATTCATAATTTTGTGCCTCACGTGATCAAGTGTTCTTACACACCATTGGTAAAATCATAAGTCTCTATCATAATACAAATAATAAAATGAGGGCACAACACAACACCCCCACTTGCTCACATTTGAAAAAAATACATTACTATACAAACACAATCAGGCCTATACACCTATAACATGTTTATCTTGCACCAAACATAAATGTTTCAAAATTTAACAACTTAAGTTTGGTTGCTGGTTTCATCATTACATCCGCAACCATCTGATTAGTGGGACAGTACTCCAGGCTGATCCTGCCATCAGTTAACATGGACCTTACAAAATGGTATTTTATATCCACATGTTTACTCCTCTCTTCTGACTATATCCTTTGGCAACATAACGCGCCTTGTATTTGTCAGATCCATCATTGTTCTTTTTGAGTGCATAGACCCATTTACCCCCCACTACAGCTTTGCCCTTCGGTAATGTGGTCAGGGTAAACGTTACATTGTCTTTTAATGACTGCATCTCTTCATCCATAGCATTAACCCACTCTTTTGCATCTGGTGAGGTTACCGCTTCTTTGTATGTTTGAGGTAAGTTACATAATAGTCTATAACAATAGTCAATATTGGTCTCATCATCCTCAAAACCACAAATATAATCATCTAAATAACCAGGTCTCTTCCTTTCTCTAGCTGGGTATCGCCTCTGGTCAGATAGATGTTCCCCATTTTCCTTTTTTGGTGCCTGTTCCTGTTCTTTATTCACCATTTGTGTCTGGTTATCACTTTGCTCTTTGACATCTACTTGTTTTTCAGTTACATGTGGACTAACAGGTGGGGTTATAATTGTCTCTCTGTTGACCACAAAATCATCTTCATCAGCATCCAGCACATCTGTGTCCGTTTTGGATATAAACTCCACAAGTCTGTGTCTCTGTACTTTTCTGTTGCTGGGATAGTACACCAAATAGGCTGGACTATCCTTGTCATATCCGATAAAAATCCCTTTCTCACATCTTGTGTCCAACTTTCCTTTTTGTTTATATGTGTAACACAATTGTCCAAACTTCTGCATCCTGGAAATATTAGGCTGCCTGCCAGTTAACATGTAGAAAGGAGTCTGTTTAGTGCGGTTGCTGAAGCACCTATTCCTCACTACAGCTGCAGTCTGGACAGCATAAGTCCATAACATCTTAGGTAGCCCACTCTGAATGAGCATACACCTGGCCATGTCAAACAGAGTTCTCCAGTTGCGTTCAGCAGTACCATTTTGATGGGGAGAGTATGGGGCTGAGGTCTCATGCCTAATACCACTCCGGTTCATTAATGCTTGGTACCCTTTCCCAGTGTACTCTGTACCATTATCTGATCTCATACATTTCACCTGCCCATAAGGGGCCATGTCAGCTAGAAACTTCTCAGTAGCTTGTACTGTGTCACTCTTATTTTTCAGAAAGTATACAAACACTGCACTAGAATAATCGTCTGTAAAGGATAGTGCGTACCTATGACCTTCTCTGGACATAGGGTCTACAGGACCAGATAAATCTGTGTGCACCATTTCCAGAGGTGCTTTGGCCCTGGTATCCAGCCCTCTGTTTCTAGTTTGAATAAACTTCCCCTGTGTGCAGATTTCACAGTGTGGTGGAGTTTTATTTCCCTCATTCTTAATCTCCATACCACTTACAACATGCTTTAATTTCATGATATCTGCAAAATTGCAGTGTCCTAGAATTTCATGCCAAGTCTGCAAATCATGACATTTGTTACACTGGTCTTCACTGTCACTTTCTGATGTGTGCAGATAGTACAGTTTGTTGTGTACATGTATGGGAAATTTAGTGCCATCTTTATGTAGCAGAATGTTCTTCTTCTCACTGAAGATCACCGTGGCTCCACACGTGGTGGCAGCTTTCACAGAGAAGATATCCTGAGGATAAGTTGGGATGTACAAGGCCCTCCTCAGCGTTGTTTTGAGACGGTGCCCCCTGCTGTCGACCAACCACACCTCTGCGTCCCCTCTGTGCTTGGCGACTCCGTTGCTCCTGGTGCCATCTGCTAGCTCCCACACAATGCGTCCCGGCCTGGAAACTGGCATCGAACCTCTTGAACTTGGCGATGTCTGTGATGATATGTGACGTTGCACCCGCATCCACCATCAGACCTTTGCTTTTGACATCTGGCACCTGCATCTCCGAGTCACTTATCCGGAAAGCATATTCCTTGCTCTCCGCGTCGGACGCTCGCTGTGCGTTATCCCGCTGCTTCCTCCGTCTACACGTCGTATTGTTGTGTGTGTTACTTTTACAGTGACTGCACCACTGCTTGCGCGGACAGCTTTTGGCTATGTGGCCTCTGACACCGCACTTATAACACTCAATGTCCGTATTGCCACTGTCCTTTGCGCTCTCTGGTGCGCGCCTTGTGCCAAATTGCGCTCTCGCCTTCATCACGTTGTCCTCAGACACAGTTGCACGCATATTTTCAATGTCCTCATAACTCCGGAGCTTTGTCTTAAACTCCGCAAAAGTCATTTTATCTTCACTCTGAGAAACACGAATGGCAAATGGTTTAAATGTCTCTGGCAGCCCCTTTAAAACCATTGCTATCAAAAGTCCGTCACTGAGCGCCTCACCTGCGCTTCGCAACGCAGTAATCGCAGTCTCTGCTCTGATTACATACTCAGTGACATTTTCCATCGGTGACTTTTGTAGAGACGTTAATTCAGTGTACAAGTTTATCACCCTGGGCTTCCCTTTGCCAGCGTAATATTCCCGGAGAATCCTCAGCGCCTCGCGTCCATCATCCACCGCCTCGCGCATTACCAGCGACAGGCTCTTGTCATCCAGGAACTGGATAAGCTCCGCATAGGCCTCAGCATTCTTCTCGTCATCATCTTCGTCGTCAGGACCAGGTGATTGTAAAATAGTGTCCTTCAATCCTTGGAGACGGAGGTGGCCCAAAAGCTTTGTCTCCCACAGCTCGTATCCTTTTTCATCGCCATTAAATACGAGTCTGCCCCAGCGGCTTGGCACAATGTCCTTTTCTTTGTTTTTACTCATGTTTGCGGTCAGTGGCTGAACTCAGGTGCACGCATTTACCGTCGCGACATTCACCTGGAGACCGCTCCTCAAACTGCGTAAAATGACTCTGGGCCCATAACCTGTTAGCAGGGTCCTTTTACGCAGCGTTGTCGTGAGCATTAAAACACAGTACACTTCGTATTCTCTTTTTGTGTGGTTACCCCATTCTCCACGGGCACACACTTTTATTCACAGGTGCAGGCCATTCATAATTTTGTGCCTCACGTGATCAAGTGTTCTTACACACCATTGGTTAAATCATAAGTCTCTATCATAATACAAATAATAAAATGAGGGCACAACACAACAGAGATATCATAAATCAGTAGTGCAACACCTGAAATTTTGCAATGTACACTGGGAGCCAGTATCGATATTAATACCAATAGGCTCTATTCACACTTACATCACAAACCAGGAAGACGTTTGGAAACATGCAATGACAACTTCCGGTGTAGGTCCCGACACTGGGCTCACCTGTCCAGACTGGCGTCACCTACTGCCTCTGCTTAATTTCTCTCCACTAATGAGGTCAGGAATCAGAATAGACTAGACGGTTTGTAAGAACCCTGGAAGTTGTAGATGGCACACTGGCCAATCAGTGAAGAGCTGTGAAGCCATGACGTCAAACTCAAGCGCCTGTCTGTGTCCCTTCTGTGGGACAGGACAACAGTAAACAAAGCGGTCGAGATGGATGTAGACGAAGACAGACATTCTGTGTTGGCAACAATTCCCGAGATCAAGTATTTAAAGCGAATATTTGGTGAATTTTATCAAGAAGAAAGACATTATTGCCCTTCTTCCTCCTGGATTTGGGAAAAGCTTAATATACCAGTTAGCCCCGTTAGTGGTGCATTACATACGTCACGACCAAATAACAGCGATTGGTTAAATAAGAAAAGTAGCCTCCTACTGTTGAGTGAATGAATCCTAATGCTGCCAGGTCAGAGTGATGAATCAGGCTAGGGCTCACTGACCGACTGTGATAAACCCCACTGAAGTAAATGTGATTAGTGGTAAACTGAAGACTGCATACGTATGTGCTGTTTGGAATCATTTTGAATTTGGTGCCCTCATCTCTTCTAATCACATGTACCCAGTGCGCTCAGAGTTGTGCATCAGTGGGGAAATTATGAAAACTGAGGTAAGGTTGGAATTGTTGATGAGCGGAGCATAATGGAGCGCTACAATGACATGGAGATGAAGAAAACTGGGCCATTTCCTAATTTTTCCTAGATTTTGTCAGACTTACAACTGTGAACAGAGTTCACCGGAAGTTGTCTTCACATGTTTCCAAACGTCTTCCTGGTTTGTGACGTAAGCCTGAATAGAGCCTATTACTTTGGTTTAGCATTCAAATATAGTTAATAGATGCACTACAACAAAAATTGTGCATTTTTATGTAATACATTAAAAATTATGTAATACATACAATCTCAAAGAACTAACACACACTTGTTTCACAGATGGGACTTAAAGGAGCCATATTATGCTATTTTCTGATTCTGTATGTTATAATATTGTTTCGTCATCAAAAGCATACTGGAGTTGTGTTTTGTTTACACATGTTTAAGACAAAACAACACTCTTTTACCTTTAGTTCAGTAGAGATAAGCAATTCCAGAGATGAAAGGTCAGTTTGAGAGAAGAACTCAGTCTAAATATACAGGATTTGTGTGTTAAACATGCGTGAATGAAACAAAACACAACTCCAGGTCTGTTTGTGATGAGCAAACAACATTATAACATAGATCAGAAAAAAAAGTTCCCGAACACACAGCCTGTCTGAAATGGGCTCCTGACTCATGTGGCTTGTAACTCACATTTTGATATTAACGCCAAGATTTCCCACTGTCTTTAAACATGTTGTGGTTGGATGGAGCAGGATGTTATCTGGTGTTGACTAGTGATCCAAGGCCACATGTGGACAAAATATGATTTGTCCACACAAACATCTATGAGTCACTAGTTACAAGGACTTTACTCACATCCTTGACTAATTCTTTTAAGCTAATGAAGATCATTCAAACCTCGTGAATTAAAGTTGATGCTTTTCAGCTTTTTGAGTTTTGGGTTTTCCTGTGGTCAGTATTTATCATAGTTATACATCATTTAAGTGGAAGTTTGTGGAAAAAAATTAGAAGAAAAACACAAAAATACAGGAAGTAGCACTGAGTTTTAAAACAGAATCCCTCTACCTATGTCATCAACACAACCAAAACCCAGAGACAATTTATGCACAAGGAGTTTAAAGCTTCATTTAACAAAATAAAGTGCTGTCATTATTCTTTATTAGTATGACCATTACCAGCTTATTAAAGCCTGATCCTGTCAGATCTCAAGCTCAGCAGGGCTGGGCCTGGTTAGTACTTGGATGAGAGACCACTGGGAAAACAAGGTGCCACAGTGGGGCGCCAGTCACAAAAACTGTTGTTGTGTCCTTAGGCAAGACACTTCACCCACATTGCCTAGTATGAAAGTGGTGTGTGTGTGTGTGTGTGTGTGTGTGTGTGTGTGTGTGTGTGTGTGTGTGTGTGTGTGTGTGTGTGAGTGATGGTGGTGGTTGGAGGGAGTGATGGCGCTGATAGCCATGGCAGCCGTGCTTCAGTCAGTCTGCCCCAGGGCAGGTGTGTCTACAATAGTAGTTTACCTCCACCGGGTCTGGAGTGAATTAATAATGATCTGTAAAGTGTCTTTGTGACAAATGTCTGTGAAAAATAAATACAAAAACTTACTTTCTAACTTACTTACTTACTATTGTGTGATGTCGACAAGTTTGGCCGTTGTTCACATTATGGTTGCTAGGTAACAGTTATAAAATTATCTTTTCAATTAAGTTACAGATTCAGGTCATTGTAATAGTTTCATTAGTGGGATACACACTGATTGTTTTGTGATAGCGCTCTGAAGGGGGAGTGACTTAATGCCGGGAGCAAAGGGACTCAGAGTGTCAAAAAGTATACAACTTTTTCTGATCTTTGTTATATCGTTGTTTCCTCATCACAAACAGACCTGGAGTTGTCTTTTGTTTCATTTACACGTGTTTAACACACAAACATCAGAAAATCAGCATCATTTCAATTTCAAGAATCAAGAATTTCAATCATAATTTCTGCCCAAAATCCAGATATATGTTTTTGAGATGGACACTACATTCTAACATACAGCCCAAGACTGTTGAATAATGCAGCTCCTTAAACATAGTCCTATCAATTAATTAATTAATCATTGCATTTATATAGCACCTTTCAAGATACCCAAAGTGCATTACAGTTCATTATTCATTCACTCAACAATCAGTGGTGGTAAACTACTAATGTAGCCACAGCTGCCCTGACAGAAGAAAGGCTGCCAATCTGCGCCATCGGCCCCTCCGACCACCACCAACACTCACGCACACACCACTTTCATACTAGGCAATGTGGGTGAAGTGTCTTGCCTAAGGACACAATGAGTTTTTGCCACCAGTACCCCACTATGGCACCTGGAATTCCCAGCGGTCTCCCATCTAAGTACTAACCAGGCCCGGCCTTGCTTAGCTTCTGAGATCTGATGGGATCAGGACTTTGACAAGCCAGCATGGCTATTTATATAATATACTATTTGCCACAGTACTAGTCTGTTACCTTGGTGATGCCGAGTGCTGCGATGTTCTGACTGTAGGAGGTGGTACCGTTGCCTGTGCCCCACAGCCCTGCCAGGATACAGCCGATGCCCTCCACCGCAATGCCCCTGTTTATGGCATGTGTGGGCGGAGGGGGGGCGCCAGAGAGTCGGGCGCAGGCGTAATAGTCCCCAATGGACTCCATGGTTGAGGCCAGGACTCCAGCCATCATGCCCAGAACAGAGGAGACACTGACGGTAGGCAAGCCCCACTGACCTGAGGGAACACACACAAGAGGTTAAAGAACACATATTGTACTTGTGTCTGCTACAGTTACAGTCTATGACACCGGAGGATCGTTCTGTTATCATTTGGACATACTGATCTAAAACAAACAATTATTTTTCCATGAGGCCACATGAGAAACAGAAAATATTGTGGAGGTCCAGGACAAAATGCTTAACTCAATTCTGTATATATTATATAACTGTATTTCTTTATAAAAAGCAGTAAATAGCATTATTCGTGCAAGACGGTAAGACTTTATGTTATGACTAAGCAATGAAAAAGTGAGGTTACCTTACAAAACTTTAAAAAGAACACCTCTAAAATAAAAGCAATGCAGCTTTAGTCCATACATGAGGTAATCTAATCACTCCATATCTAACTTTGGGTAAGTAAATAGTGAGAGAAAATAATTATAACATGGTTAAAAGCTCTGAAAAGTCCAGGTATATGGGGATAGGACAGTGTTAGACACTGAGACACTGACCTGTGGGAGCACACACACACACACATGAGTGTGAGAGAACTCTTACACTTCCATGGCGTGTAATCGTTAAAACATATTTAGATCACCATGTTACCTTTTATTGTTTTAAAAATGTTATATTCACCAAAACTAACTTGTTTAATGAGTTTGTTTTTGATGCTCTGAGTCTCCCCTCCCTTTGCTCACTGCTCTAAGTCAGTCCCCCTTCAGAGTGCAGAGTTTATTATATTTTCTATTTATTTATTATTTATTATTATGTTATTCATGATAATATCCATGCAGTAGCATGGGTGACTTGGATTTGGACAGAATCGTACTGCCAACTGCAACGAGGATTTATATGGCCCTTACTCAAATATGCATGGATGACATCTAGAACCTTTTTGATAAGGGAACAACATCATAGCATAGTAAAAAGAGTAGAGTTTTCTCATCAGGGTAAAGCTAATTTCAACTAGCATAAATAACAGTGCACTTCCCATCAATAGAAAGGTGTATAATTAGATGCAGACAGCACACAGAAGGCACATTTTGACCTCAAGAGATACATTTTAGTCAAATGGGAAAAAACTGGGTAGAGCCCCTTTGAGTTACGTCTCATACTTGTTACTTGGTTGTTTTAGCATTTCCTAGCAGAGTTCTGTCACTGCCTTACAACAAAAACATGTTTCTATTCATAAATTTGAATGTACAATATGTTCTCCAGAGACCTGTGAGGAGATCCATGTCTGGTCCTCCCGCTGAGACCAGACCATTCTCTGTATCAGAAGGAACAAGAGAACCTATCAAAACAAACCTTTTATGTCCCACTGCAACACAGCACACAGGCCACAGCTGTTTACCACTTTGATATGACTGAGATCTGGTCTTTACAATAGTAAAGCACAGCACATTTCTAAGTACTAACGCAGATTGGTCTTAGTTTGATCCCAGGTTTAGTCCTGACTTGGACTGTTTTTGGCAAAAAAAAGAGAAAAAGTTACATAGTGGGGCTTTAACTTTTAGTTTGACATCTCATTTAAAAGGCAATTCAGAGCAGGTCACATTGAACTCTTTCTGACTATGGTATAAAATGCAAGGACTGTCTTCTTGGAATGGACCAACACCAATACCAGTATTGATCTGATACCAGGTGATACTCATACTTGTACTCATCAATGAGCTGCCGATACCAAGAGCCAATACCACTGTAAATGCGTCTTATTTGATGGCCACAACCCACCCCTGAGCTGAGCAATGACTAAACAGTGACTCTAAGCAGTGACTCTGAGCAGTGACTCTGAACAGTGACTCTGAACAGTGACTCTAAGCAGTGACTCTAAGCAGTGACTCTGTACAGTGACTCTGAACAGTGACTCTGAACAGTGACTCTAAGCAGTGACTCTAAGCAGTGACTCTGAACAGTGGCTCTAGACATTAAGGTAACCATAAAAAGCATTCTGGTGTGCACATCAAGCACAGCTTTAATCAGCCTAATTAAGAATCATTTGTGACTGTCCATGAACTATAAAAATGTTTAGGACTCTAAAGGTTTTTACAGTTCAGTGCAGCTTGTGTTTATGATAGGAGCATGATAATGTTGCTCAGTGGGGCTGGCCATTCTTTGCTCGTGTGTGCATTGCAACTTACTGTAACTGGCAGACACATTTAGCCAACAGAGCAGGTTCAGAGTTTTTAAAAGAGGTATAACATGTCCATATTGGTAAAAGTAACCAGACCAAGTTAGAAGTCAGATCTACGGAGAGGCACGCTCACTCACAGTACCAATGCATGCTTTTTAAACCAATTTTGAATAATAAAAAACACTTTTAATAAGTTCCCGCCTATGTAACTCTATTAGAGAGTCACAAATGTGCAAATCAGAAAATTGTTAAAACTTCTTTGAAATGACAACAATTACGCCTTTAAATCTGAATGATGGCAGACCACAAAATAATTACATTTTGATTTATTTATTTACACTGACAGAGAAGGCCAATTTTGTGCCAGTTTTTTTTTTTTTTTTCATGTGAATAGGCCCAGTAATTACAGAGATACTAATCATAAACTGGGTCAATGAATCTGGAATCTGACAGTTAAACAACAAACTCCACCTAAGAGTTCCAACCTCCTCCAGTGCTGTTTAAACTATAAGGATTCTATAAAATGCTAATGTCACATGAACCAAACTTTTTAAAGAAGTACTAGAGAGATCTGTAAATGCCATACTGTGGAACACTCCTTTCACATTCCACCCTTAACTCTGTAGAGCTTATAAGATATGACTAGTTTACACACAGACAGACATGAGGCCCTGAGAGAAAAAAACTCCAAAGATGTTTCTACAATGTCGTCTCATCACTCGTAACTCTGACAGTTATCTTTTTAAACGATCAAAACTCAACTGTAACTGTAAAACTGTTTTTCTAGTTTTACACTGCATACACGCAAGCTACAGTTAAAAGACTGGACATTTTTAATTTTGTTTTTTCAACTCTGACACAAAAAATAAACTCAAAATAACTTTTATCCACTGTCGCGATAAATACTATTTGACTTATGATTCAATACTTAATAGATGGAACAATCCTTTTTTTTTTTTTTTTTTTTTTTTTTGGGGGGGGGGGGGGTTTAGTACTTATTGTTTTTTCTTTTTCCTTGTACTAGTATGGAAATTTGCGTAATTTTTTTGTGCTAAGATCACATTTGAGCTGGAGAAGTTTGAATTATGAACTTATATGACTCATCATAGATGCAAACAAACTTCTTAAGTGTTGCATTCTGCCATTTCTTTACTGTATTACATTTTTTTAAACAATATTGTGCATTAAAAATAAATGTATATTATTATTGATTATGGCAGTGATATTGGCATTTCTTGACTGCTGTGAAGTGAAAACCATTTCAGGAGACTTCATTATAAAGCTTGTTGAGAGAACGCAGGTTTGCAGCGCTGTTAACAAAGCAAAGTGTGGCTACTTTGAGGACTTATTATATGGATTATTTCAGTTTTTTTTTGCTACAAAAGTTCCAAACATATCCTAAATTCTTTCTTCTGCATATTTATACAATGTAGAAAGTGAATTGCTATATTCTGATCTATGTTCTAATGTTTCCTTATCACAAATATACCTCAAGTTGTGTTTTGTTTCATTCACACGTGTTTAACACACAAACCCTGCATATTTAGGCTTCTCTCAAACTGAAAACACCCTTTTGCACCTTGTGATGTCATGTAGTAATACAGGAAGTGCTCCACTGTGTTTCTAAACTCCTTACACTTTCACTAGAATCATTTGGATGAGTTCAGTCCTGGACTTGCTAATCTCTATTGAATTAAACATAAAAGGAGCTGTGCATTGGGGCGGCAGTAGCTCAGTTGGTAGAGCATTCGCCCACTGATCTGAAGGTTGGTGGTTTGAATCCAGCTCTCGACATAAACATCTCAGGTTGAGCGGTCAGATCCACTGACCCACAGGTTGGCTGGTGTGATTCCAGCTCCCACAGACTGCTGTTGTTGTGTCCTTGGGCAAGACACTTAACCCACAGTGTCTGTGTACACTGGTGTGTGAATGGGTGAGTGGTTCCTTGTTGTAAAGCGCTTTGAGTGCCTTGAAGGTGGAAAAGCGCTATAGAAAAATGTGACCATTTACCATTTGAAAACTACCACTTCATGACGTCACAAAAACAGAGCATTTTGAGCTTTAGAGATGTGGGCTAATACAGAGTCACTCATAAACATGTGTAAGTGAAACAAAACACAACTCCATGTATGTTTTTGAGGAGGTAACAACATTCTAACATGGTTTAAAATTTACAAGAATGAAATTTGCATATCACAAACCCATTAAAACAAAACAAACCCAAAACACTGAAAAAGAAGGGTGTGTCCAAACTGGTAGTGAAGCTCGAGGCTAATTCAGCTTCACGCTTCATTACCTTCAGTGACAGATTTATCAGAGGCCTCACACGGTTTCACACAGGTTGTGAAATATTGCAACAGATCATACACCAACACCTTTAAGTAAAAAAAATATATGTCTCAATAACAACATCCAAAAAATTATGATCACCTTCAAGTGTGAGCTGAGGACATCATCTGGCCATTTTTCATTCATGCAGAGGAGATTTAAGAGTGTATTATTCTCAGTTTTTGTCCTTATCTGAGATCATTCCTGTTGTAAATATCAATGACTGAAGTTTGTTTTTGCGAAGAAAAGGTGAAAAATATGTTGAAAAAAATACAGGAAGTAGAGTTTTAAAACACACTGGGGGTGTACAAAAATATCGGAATATTGATATATTGTATCGTTTAATGTGATGATACAGTATCGATATCGTGGGCTGCTGTATCGATATATCACCAAGAGTCTTTTTAGGTGTGCTTTACTAAATTATTTTGTTACAGTACTACAGTTTTATTGCTTGTGGAGTGAAAGGAAACTCATTTATGCAAAACATTTGATATTTTTACTGTTTTGATGATTAAAATGTGTTTCATATGAACTTTGCACAAGAAGTGGTTTAACAAAGACTTTTAGTATCACAGCCATGATTTAGCCTTTATTTTTTATTGAACTGTATTGAATCGATTTGAAATATATCATATCGAATCCAAAGTGCACTGTATCGAGATATGTATCGTATCATGGCCTGTGTATCGAGGTATGTATCGTATCGGCAACTTCTTAATGATACCCAGCCCTAAAACACACTGACACATCACACTAGGGAGAGTTCTATTTTGATTTGATTTTATATATGTATTTCAGTCAGTCGTCAGTTGTAGTCATCCAGGTAGGATCCATTCAAATTCAATTTGTTAACTGGAAAGTTTATTTGGTCAAATACGTTTCAGAGCTCATCCAAGTTGCTTCTTCTGTTCTGAACTGCAAGCTGCAAAACGTATTCGACCAAATAAACTTTTGTCCAGTTGAATTTCTATGGAGTAAGAAAGCTTTCAGAAATATTCCTGCACATAGAATAGAAATCCGTTAATATTTGGCTGTAATTGCGCATAAAATAAACATTCGTAACTCTCGAATGAGTCCAGTCGTACATAAAATATATTGTGTGTGTTTTATCCATCAGAATACAAACTGAAAAGTTACGACGTCAAGAATTACAATCACAAAATAAAAATGTACGATTACGCATTCATCAGTACGAATACGAATTCACAGACGGGACAGTTTACACCAAACACTGTCCCGGTTACAGACATCACACCCAACATTACAGTTTACAGCTTCCAGTATCAATTAATGTTTGTATTTACAGGCAACACCTTGCTATGTACACAGTATAACATCACTGTGTCGTGGATGGATTTGCTAGTTCATTATAACCCATTATATCTCATATATAACCCACTGTCTGTAACCAGGACAATTTTCATTTCGTGATTGTAATTCTTGACGTCGCAAATTTTCAATTCGTATTCTGATGGATAAAATACACACAATATATTTTCTGTACGACTGGACTCATTCGAGAGTTTACGAATGTTTATTTTATGCGAAACTACAGCCAAATACGCACGGATTTCTATTCTATGCACACGAATATTTCTGAAAGCTTTCTTACTCCATAAATTACTCCTTTGCCATAAGTCTAATCATCTGAACTGCGTTTCAATAAAATGAGTAGTCTCACCTGTCATAGAACAGGTTTTGATTCCTTTTTAAACATGCATTTGGTCACCTTGGGATCAGTTTTTCACATTTTCTAGACAACATAAATCTGAACAAAAATGTAATATATACTCTTTAAAAAAAACTGAACTGTAGAAGTCCAGAGTTTCGTCTATGATGCAACTAAAAGGGCAAAATGTTTCCTCATCTCAAACACAGTTGGAGTTGTGTTTTGTTTCATTCACACATGTTTAAAGGTGCATTGTGTAACTTTTCTGGTGGAGTTTCTGTCACATGTTTTCGCCGTGATGTCGTTGCTTTGTTTGGAATGTTTCACAGTATGGCATTAAACCTTACTGTCTTCATGGAGACCAAACCAGACAACTTACAGGTCACATCAGTGGAGAGGCAACACCGCTCACAGTCACAATGATTTTTTTTTTTTTTCTTAGGGATTTTTGAGCCATGTGTAATTGAATAAATGTAAGGTAGAGCTGTTTAAAGTCATACTGTGGAACATTTCAAGCAGAGCATAGAAACAAGAAGGTGATGGACCCTCAACCAAAGAGTTGCATAGTGCACCTTTAACACATAAACCCTGCATGTGTAAGCTATTAGGACATCTCTGAAATATAAAACACTCTGTTCCACCTTGTGATGTCATGTGGTAATACAGGAAATCGGCCACTTTTTAAATTCCATACACCTTTAATCACTTGGATGATTCCTTTGTATCTTTGGAGATGTAGACAAACTAAAAATAAAGTGTTACTCAAACGTGTCAATGCAACAAATCACAACTCCAGGTCTGTTTTTGAGGAGGTAACATTAAAACATGGCTAAAAACTCACAAGATTCCATTTTGTGTAATATAGGAACTTTAAATAAAACAGAGTATAGACCCTCGAATGTCTGAAAGAGTAGTTATTGATAAAGTAAAGCGATGTAACAGATCCACACATACCTGGATACGGCACGTGGAACCAGGGTGAGTTAGTGACCGCGTCGAGGCTGATGTCCGTGCGTGCAGAGTGACCGTACTCTTCAGGTTTGGACGGGAGCACCTCAAATACTGTGAGGAGGAAGCAGAGGAGCCAGCCACCGCACATGCCAAAGAGCGCCTGCAGGGGGAGACAACAACAACGGTCACTCAGAAACAACACTCCATCTGACCCTCTCCTCTGCTCCATCTGACCCTCTCCTCTGCTCCATCTGATCCTCTCCTCTGCTTCAACTAATATTCTCCTCTACTCCATTTAACATTCTCCTCTGTTCCATCTAACATTTTCCTCTCTCTAGCTGAACCTTTTCTCTTCCATCTAACATTCTCCTCTGCTCCATCTGACCTTGTCTACTCCATCTGACTCTCTCCACTGCTCCATCTGGCCTTCTCCTCTGCTCCTCTGCTCCATCTAACCCTCTCTTCGGCTCCACTGATCCTCTCTTCTGCCTCTATAACCATTTCCTTTGCCTCTCTGAGCCTCTCCTCTGCCTCCTCTGACCTTCTCCTCTACTCCTCCAACCTTCTCCTCTACTCCTCTGACCTTCTCCACTGCTCCATCTGAATCTCACCCTCTCCTCTACTCCTCTGATCTTCTCCTCTGCTCCAACTGACCCTCTCCTCAGCTCCACTGATCCTCTCTTCTGCTTCTTTGACACGTTCCTCTGCTTAATCTGACCTTCTGCTTTGTTCCATTTAACCTCTTCTGTCCTCTTCCCTCTCTCTACTCCCTCCTCTGACCTCTTCTCTCCTCTGCTCCATCCTCTGACCTTCTCCTCTGCTCCATCTGACCTTCTCCTCTGCTCCATCTGACCTTCTCCTCTACTCCTCTGCCTCTCCATTCCCTCAGATGTCCAGTAGGAGGTGCTGCGTGTGGTGACTCACAGAGAAGAGTTTGAAGAGTGGGTACTGGAACACCTTCCACTTCTTGTCCTTGTAGGTGATCATGGGCACATCCACTTTACTCAAATACTGAGAGAAGAGGAGGATCAGACACACCGTCCTGGAGGAGAGGAAGAGAAGAAGAGGGAGGAGAGAGGAAGACGAGAGAAACCGTGAGAGGGAGGAAAGCGAGAGAGACATTTAGAATTTTTAAACACATTGAAATGTATATTTAAAATGATGGCAATTAAAAAACATACTTTTTCAGGGTTAAACATTCACAAAGTGAGAAATTCAGCTGCATTCAAAATTATATTTTTTTTCTTCCATAGCAAAAGCGTTATATACTTTCTGAATATTTCCTTTTCACAGTAGTTCCCCCTCTGCCTCTGTCCTTTAGTCCTCTATAAGTGAAACCTAAACTTGGCCTGACTCCAGACTTTGCAGCTTCTCCATGCTGTCGACACTTTTACTCCACTTCCTGCTGAGAGGGATTATGGGTAAAAAAAATCTGTGGACTGTCAAAAAAGTGTTATCGCTGGTGAGTTAAACATGAAAGAACCCGCTGTGCTCATGTCTACTCCAGCTGTGCGCTGAGAACGTCCCATGGAGCGTGAAACAAGGCCAAAAAACTGCAGGATTTAAACTGATTTAGAGATATCCCACTGTGCCAGGAGACCACGAACACACCGCGGACAAGTTGTTTTTGCAAGAAAAGGTTTGTGTTAAGTACGTGGGATTTATGATGCTGTATTTACAGGGATAAAGAAGCGGACCCCAGAGACAGACAAGAAAACTGAGCTAACACAAACAAAGAAGTTAAATGTTGTGATAAACCTAAAGACAGGATGTTTAAACATCCTGTAAAACTATAAATTCTGGACAATTGTGTTGTGAGGTTTAAGTCATGTTAGAATGTTGTTACCTCCTCAAAAACAGACCTGGACTCGTGTTTTGTTCAAGATGGAAATTAGGATTAATTGTTGCAAGATAAATTTGTGCTAAGATAAAAAATATTCACCTGCTAATTGCGGGCTTATATAGCCTGCATAATGAGTTGAACTATCTGTAACAAGTATTTTTGAAGTTATCATATTTCTGTTAGTAGCATATTAGCGACATTAGCCTATAATGCTAATGCTATTTGCCAAACAGCGCTATATAGAAACAAGTTTCAGGACAAATTTTCTTTAGGAAATCCTTCTTATTTTGTCTAGTTATCTTCAATAATCTTTATACAAATACCATGTTGGGATGTAAATGCAATTTCTGCCATTTTGGCATGGCCATACCGGCTTGTAAAAGCCTCCCGTCAGATCTCAGAAACTAAGCAGGCCAGGCCTGGGTAGTACTTGGATGGGAGACCGCTAGGAATTCCAGGTGCCACAGTGGGGCGCCAGTGACAAAAAAACTGTCATTGTGTCCTTAGACAAGACACTTTACCCACATTGCCTAGTATGAAAGAGGTGTGAGCGTGAGTGATGGTGGTGGTCAGAGGAGCCGATGGTGCAGATTGGCATCCTCGCTTCTGCCAGTCTGCCCCAGGGCAGCTGTGGCTGCAGTAGTAGCTTACCACCACTGAGTGTGGAGTGACTGAATAATGAACTGTAAAGCGCTTAGGGTATCTTGAAAGGCGCTATACAGATGCTATCAATCAATCATTTATTTTTATGCAGACCAAAATGAAAGCGTCAGCATTTTATGTGAAGCTCACTGGTGGATCTCACACCAGAGTTCCCCCCAGAGGAGAGCGACGACAGCTGTCTCAGTGACTGTGGGGACAGTGATGAGGAATATGTCCCCAAGACAAGTGATGCAGAGAGCAGGAGCGAGAGCAACAGGAGCAGTGATGAGGAGGTCCAAGATACTAACACCAGTGCACCTGCTGCAAGAAAGACTTCTAAAAGAAGAAAGACACAAGACGTGGTGTGGAGGACAGTAAAACAAAGTCAGAACGCTGCAAAAAATGTGCCAGTGTGGCAAACTGCTCTCCCAGACTGTAACACAATCAGACGGCCTATTGATTATTTCAGTTTTTAACACTGAACTTTTGGATGTTATTGTGAAGCAAAGCAATATGTACTGAACACAAGTAACCGATGGTTCTGTCAACCACCTGCTGTACTGCAACAACTGTTTTCCTCCTTAGATTTGTTTGTCTCTTGCAAACAGTGGGATACCAGCCCTTGGCACTGTGTGCCAAAATCACTTGCAAGGCTCCAGTTTGTTAACATTGTTTTATTATTGACTATTCTGCCTGTTGTCGGCAAATTTGCAACATGCCCAAATTTCAGTTTTTTTGTGTGCTATAGTCAAATTAATAATCTCAATTTAATTGACCATTTTATATACATCGTGGTTTATTTTTTGTTTAGTCCTGTTTTAGTCCTGGTTTAGTCAGGACTAAACATGGGGAATCTGTGAAAATGTAAAATTCGGGTAACTGGACAATAGCTTTAGAGTGAAGATGTTTCGGCACTCATCTTCATCCAAATGTCTTCACTCAAAACTTTTGTCCAGTCAGCAGAATTGATTTTTTATTTTTTTTTTGCTTTGCTATCAGACCTGAACGACAGAGGAATTACACAGACATGTGGAGTCAGTGTTTCAGTTTTCTTCAGCTAAAATCTGAAACAGTTTTCTGAACACATGAGACAGACTCTGTTCTTACTGTATATAAATCCAGACTCAAAACGCCTCTGTTTAGCTGCATGTGACTGAATGTTTTTTATTCCTCACTCTTCTCTTTTAGTGTTCATTTTGTGATGATAATTTATGTTCAGATTTGTTTGTTTGTGTGAAAACTCCCTGGTCCACCTCTCTACTCAACAAAAGGTAAATGGTAGCTGTTAACTACCTCTTAATGACATCACAAGGTGGAAAAGGACGTTTTGAGCTTTGGAGATGTAGACAGAAAAGAAACGGTCAATTTTGCATAATATATGACATAATTTCATATTGTCACATAAAGCTTTTGTCACTTGTAGACTTACTCACAGTGGGAACACTTACGCTGCACAATATACTCAAGTAAAATTATGGGGTCTGAAAACTAGTCCTAAAATTACAGTTTTGTTAAAAGGTTATTGAAACTATGTACTACCTCGTGTGCTTTTGGGGTGAGCCTGTCTTTGCTGTACCTTTTAAAAACCTTGTGGTGATTTGTCAGCCTCTGTGACACTAATGTGAGTGTTATCTGTTACGGTGGATATAAATGAAGATGGATAGGGTCAGAGGTCAAGGGGGTGGAGTGTCCAGCATAAACCAGGATTAGGCCCAGGTCAGGATCCAAAAGTCGGAGCCAGAAGAGCAGAGTTAGAGGAGCAGAGTTAGAGGAGCAGAGCCAGAGGAGCAGAACCAGAGGAGCAGAGGAGCAGAGTGTAGAGGAACAGAGCCAGAGGAGCAGAGGTAGAGGAGCAGAGGTAGAGGAGGAGACAGGAGTAGGATAACTCTGCTCTCTGCTGTGGGTCTTATCAGCTGGAGAATGAAACATGGATGTGTGCCTTGTAAAATACATCGTTTGTCTTGATTTCAGGAGCAGAGCCAGAAACAGTAAAGCTGCTTCAGTTTGTGGAATGACTTCATCTCTGGACCTCTGCTCACATCCACTTAAAGATGACCTGTTACCTGAGACCTGCTTAGTAATAAACTATAAAATACATAGATTATTACTTTACTCTGTGTTCATTGTAAAACAGCAAAAAATATCTGAAAGAGCTTAGTAATACAAGTTCCAGAATGAATAAGCTCTGCCTCTTCATAGTAACGTATTGATACCTTCCAGCTGATGTCATCAACAGGGGCGCGGTGATAACTAGAGGCACTGCTCTGTCTGAGGCTCTGTGATTCAAGTTAGACTTTAGTTTGAGTTTTGTTTCTACACCATCTGATCACAAAGAGCTGGTCTGGTTGGAACTACAACAGGAGAGTCAGGCAATTTTCTTGAGTTTTCAGACAATCTAAAAACGTATACTTTGCGTCATCATGGTAACTGCTCAACATTTTGCCTTAGACATACATGTATAACATCCCCAGCGTGATGTTAGTGGAAAGAATTGATATGCTGGACTAGACATGTCCAAAAATGCAGAGACAATTTACACACAAGCAAGGCATTTTTTTCTGGCAGTTTAAACATTGATTAAACAAAATAAAGGTTTTGTCATTTATTCTTAATTGTTGAATTATAATTATTAATGTGTAATTCAGGCAAGTTTGGCCTTTGTTTACTATATGATACTAAAAAACTGTTTATTTACCTCTATGTATGTCATATACACAAGAAACTTGGAAAACAAACAATCAAACAAACAATGGTGATCTGGCTCTAAGTCAATCATGATATGTACATATGTCTGTTCCTCTCTGGCCCTGGTGTTTTCAGTGCAGTGTTTGGACCTGTGATCTGTGTACAGTGTTCAGAGACTCACAGAGCAGCGATGCCCCAGTGGCCCCCTGACTTCTTCCCCGCCTCGATGAAGAGAGACAGGCCGATCAGGTTTATGGTGGGAGCGATGGCCAAAGGTCCGATGTACTTCAACACAAACCCCACCAGCCCCGAGAAGCCCAGAAAGATCTGCAGCAGAGAGGAGACCAGGATGGCTCCCTGGATCTGAGGGACAGACACATGTGTGGTTATCATGACAAGTGCACTTTCAGGAAAACTGTCATTTAAAGGTCCTTTCGCCAGCTTCTCTCCATGGAGATGTTGCCTGGAAGGTTCCACAGTATGGCATTACACTTATTTATCTCTATGGAGAAAGCATGTGACCCATAGGGTCAAGTTACATGTCAAAACTGTGGAGAGGCGAGCCCACTCACAGTAAGAGTAAGTCAATAAAAAAAGCAATGTTGCTGAGTAAATGCAGATGGATATATTTAATGCCATACAGGGACATTTCCAGACAGAGCAACAACATCTCCATGGAGACAAGCAGATGACAGATCCTCCAATAGAAAAAGTTACACAGTGCACCTTTAAAGTGTCATATTTAATTAAAGGTGCACTGCCTAACATTGTCTTGTTTGATAAGGATGTTCCACAGTGTTGGCTCTGACACAACGATGAATTCGGGGGGTGATGCTAACCACAGGCACACCCTGTCTGAGGCTTTGTTACACTTTAATCTGAGTTTTATTTTAACACAAATCTCTGACCTGAAAGAGCTCACTTCAGTCAAAACTACAACAGGCGAGCTGATTTTAAACAAGTCCCTCTAAAATAACATTACAGTCACAAGTTAGCTAGCATCAGCAGTTTTTCAGTTGGTCACTCTCACCTTTTCTGTGGAAAATCAAACTCCTAAACAGAACCATGAACATACTCCTCATACTCATACTCCTAGGTCAGCACCTGCTTAGAGACTGACATCCACATGTTTTGCTTTGCCCAGGCAAGATTTAGGGACATTGGGGGTGTAAGACTGGGAGCTTTGACTCATCTCTGCGATGGAAGTACATCTCCAGCAACACAGAGCTTGGATATTCCAAGTTGATGTTTTATTTGGAGAAACTCCAAATAAACTCCTTCTGATACAAGACAGGTAATGGGGGGCTCGTGTTTCTTTGATGGCCTTAGATAAAACCCAATAACTTAACCTTCTAAATGATTGTAGGTTATAGCGGTAGACCTCACAAAAAGCAGACTGCTTTCTAATCATGTAATCTAACCTGTAATCATTCTAACCATCTTTTTCTTAGTACGCAATAAATCCTGCCTCTCCCTACTACAATATTCAGTGAGCCCAGATTTAGAGAGGTACCGTCAATGTGCACATCTACAGCTGCGTTCAGACCGCAGCGCTGAGTTTATATCCAAAATCTAGGGTGGACATCAAGGCAATCCTGTGTTTCTGTCCCACGTTTTCAAGCTTCAGTGTGGCGCAAATCTGGCATTGACACCGGAGTTGAAAAATCTGACCTTTTCCATTTAATGCATCAACCAAACAGGCACGATGCTCCAGTGTAGGTTATGCACAAACAGTGTTGGGGAGTAACGGATTACATGTACTGGAGTTATGTAATCAGAGTACAAATGATGAGTAACTGTATTCAGTTACAATTACTGTTTCAGTGAGTGGTAATTGGATTACAGTAACTTTGTTGAAATAAATGAATTACACGATGGTATTTTCCTGTTTTCACATTTTGGCCTATATCCCTTTTTTTATTTATTTATTTTTTATTTTTTGGTAATTTCACTCATTGCCGGAAACTAAACTAGGTCTAAACTAGATCTAAACCAGGTCTAAACTAGGACTAAAACCAGGATTAAAACCAGGACTAAAACCAGGACTAAACCAGGACTAAACCAGGTCTAAACCAGGACCAAAAAAGGACTAAAACAGGACAAAACCAGGACTAAATCCTGCTGCGTGGACCGTGTCTCCTCGTTTTCTATCAATAATATTTTTAATACAGTTCAGTAAAGACTGGGCTTTTTATTTTCTTTTATCACACAAAACGTCTTATGTTACGATTTCCTCGTCTTTGCTTCTCTACAGCAAATCAAGTAATCCAAAGTATTCAGATTACGTTACTCACTTTAAGTAATTTAATGGATTCTGTTACAAACTACAAATTTTGGGATATGTCATCTGTAATCTGTAGGGGAATACATTTCAAAAGTAACCTTCCCAACTCTGTGCGCAAACTAATGTGGGACAGCAGGTCATCAAACTGGGCCTGGGACAGACGAAAGTGCCACTGAAAGAGCTCCTGGAGCAAGTGATGAAACTCACCAAACACAGAAAGCCATTAAATGATGTCATAGACCCAGAAAGCCAATTGCCTCTGCTGATGTATTTTATGTAATGAAGCCACTCTCTCCTGCAGTACCATCATTCACAAAGAAACTAGAAAAGAGAAACATCCAAAAGCATCCAAGAGCACACCTCTAATGCGATTTGATGCTGTGGTCTGAATGCAGCTTCACTGGGACTAGTGCCTGAACCAAGTGAACTGAAAGGTGTGGTGAGTTAAAGAGTTACCTTTGACTTAACAACTGACACACCAAAAACACAACTCTGGGTGTTTTGATGACATTCCAACATAAATGTATAGGACCTGAAAGATCTCTATCTGTTTCTTCCATTTCATTTTAGATGATGAGAAGCTTTGAACTAAAATGTTTGAAAGAATTTGAAGTATTTGTACAGAGTATTTGTAACTTTAGCTGTGTCTAAACTAGGCCCTGTGTGATTTATGTTGACAGCACCAACTCTAAACCTGTTGAGAAAAAATGTATTTTACTCATTAAATACAGTTTCGTGCAGAGAAGACAGAAATATGAATAATGCATTTAAAAAGTCAACTACCATTTATGAACTCATTTCAACAACACTCTGTACTATTATAGGTTTGTTTCTTTAATTTCATGACATTTTTAACTATTTACTATTGTATTTATTCTTTATTTAACCAAAAGAGTCGCACGTAGCTCACTCATCATTTTCATCGTGTGTTTTTGATGGCGGCAAAAGTAGCTCAGTTGGTCTTTGTCAATGATCTGATGGTTGGTGTTTCGAATCCCATTCTCTTTATAAACATAATTCGTTCAATGGTCTGATGCACTGGCCCACAGGTTGGCGGTGCAATTCCAGCTCCAACAGATGAATGCTGTGGTTGTGTCCTTAACCCCCGATGTGTGAATGGGTGAGTGTTTGAGTGTCTTGAAGGTGGAAAAGCGAAGTATAAAAATGTGACAATTGAACATAGTGGGAGGGGAAACTAACGCAGGTAGAACTTGCAAACTCCACACAGAAAGGAGTCGAACCCAGGACCTTCTTGCTGTGAGGCTTCCTGAAATGTGGAGTTCTATGTTGCACCCTGTCACATTTCTAGTCAGCAAATCTAGTTGGCAAATCTTTTCTGATTCTGACTAAAACTTTTCATTTTTAGTATAAATTCTTTAGCATTAGAATCCATACTTTTCAATGCCTTGTTTAGGGTAATATGTTAGTAACATTCAGCCCATCTCTAACCACCAATGCGGTGGTTTCTCAGCTCTTGTTTTAGCTTAACATTCTGTAGTCCAATAATATTTAATACAGATGGAGGCAGATAAAATAAAAAACTGCTTTAAAACAAAAATACTGCTTTTTCTTGTACTACATTGAGTTCTTGGGTCTAGTCACTAATAGAAAAGATCAGGTTCAACAATATGTATTTACCTTTTAGAAACTTCATGACAATATACTCTATAGGGAAATCTGGCCCTTGTCCCTTGATTCGGCAGCTCTTACCTCTCTCATGCGTGACATCCACACTTCGTCGTCGTGGTAACCTGCCGTCCCATTGATCAGAGCGCTGGACTTGGGGGCGGGGCATTGCCACTTAGGCAGAGCGAGGATAGCGAGGGTCGGTGTGATGAAGCTGAAGGTCCCGCCCTGAAGGATCGGCAATCTGAAACAAAACCGTAAAAAAGAATGATCACAGTTAGCACTGAAGAAGACATACTGTGCTTGTGTCTGCTGTGTAGTTATAATCTATGACACCAGTGGATCATTCTGTTATAATCTGCACATTTTAAAACGCAATATTCATCTACAATATCTTAACCCTCTCCAGGCAGGCGTTGCAGATTTGCAACAGCTAAATTCCAATTACCTACTTACTCCACATCCATATTTTATGAGCTTTTTTTACTCAGGAGCCTTTTCTCCCATCCATGCTGATAAACGTGGGCGATGCAGACTGTGCAAGAATGGCTACACGCAAACGGCCTGCCAGAAGTGCAAAATACTTTTTTTGTTTACAAAAGGTAAAAAAGTCAGGATTGTATATTACTACCCCATATTATAATTTTCCCCAAATATCAGATTTTTCCTGATACTAAAAATTAATTTGAGCCTGAGAGGGTTAATATAACGAACATGTACACTGATTTCCATATTCTATTTGTGGTGCCCAGTGGGAGCTGACATCGGTGTAAACATCATCACAACAGAGTGCCACTGTCTCTGGACAGCTGTAGATCACGAGTTGCAGATTTGTACCAGATTTGTGATGATGCCAAATCCTATATGAATCACTCTAAATACAACTTTGAAATATGAAGAGGGGAAACAACTAGAACACGGTTACAAGCTCTGGAAAGAGCATTTTGTAGAATAGGTCTTTAAGACCCTTTGACAGCCCTGATTCATACCTCCTTAAAATGCAGTAGCATTCATGGCATGACATTCTTCACAATCAGTTGTGAAACATGCAGAAACATTTGTCTTTAAGAAGTCATGTCATTTTTCCTTTATCTTTAGTTTAAAGAGTTCAAACATAAATCTCCAATCATTAAAGACTTGTTCACATGTCATTCAAAAGACAAGTAAAGTAGAACTGAACCAATTCAGTAAAACATGTCTGACAAGTATTACATTCATGTTTGAAATTTATGTTTTGATAATAGGATTCAGTTCAAAGTGCACATTATAAAACCGATTAAGGAGCAGGAACATTTAAAAGAAGACTGAAATCTGAGCTAATAAACAAACAAACAAAAACAAAAAACATAGAATAATCTCACTCAAAACATGTTTGTAGAGGTCTGGTCTACAGGGTTAGCAGCTTTTAACCATAGCGTCAGCACGATCACATTTCTCCAATCTTTGCATCCCTGCCCTGGCTGCTACTTCAACTAGATTTCTTTTGTTTGACCTGGTCCGGCCGTCTACTCCCCCTGGTGCTCTCTGCTGTCATTCTGCTCCACTGGCCCCTCTGACCACCACCAACACTCACCACATTCATACTAAGCAATGTGGGTGAAGCGTCCAAGGACACAATAACAGTTTTTGTCACTAGCCCAACCGTGGCTCCTGGTATTCCAGCGCTTTCCCATCCAAGTATTAACCAGGACCAGGCAGCCATTATTGTATATATTATTTTTCAATGTATTTTCCACAAATGAAAACATACACAGTGAAAGACTTGTATATACCTGGTCCCTACGCAGGTCTGCAGCAGAGTGGAGAGGCCGGACACGAAGAAGATAGTGGAGATGAGCTGACTCTTGGCCACGTTGTTGTCTTTGATGCACAGGGGTTCAGCCAGAATCAGAGGAACCGCGATAATCCCACCGAAAGCCAATATGTAGTGCTGCAAATGAGAAAAGAAAGAGTTAAAAATATGAGGAGCCAGAGGAGCAGACAGGTGCCAACAGGGTTAAATGAAGCCAAGGAGCAGAGGAGAGGGTTAGATGGAGCAGAGGATTCAGAGGAAGGGGGCAGAGGATGCAGAGGAGCAGAGGAGATGGTCAGATGGGCCAGAGAAGCAGGGGAGAGGTTCAGATGTAGTAGAGAAGGTCAGATGGAGCAGAGGATGCAGAAGAGAGGGTTAGTTGGAGCAGAAGAGAGGGTCAGATGGAGCAGAGGATTCAGAGGATGCAGAAGAGTAGAGGAGAGGGTCAGACAGACAGAGGATGCAGATGAGCAGAGGAGAAGGTTAGACGGAGCAAAGGATTCAGATGGAGCAGAGGATGAAATGGAGAAGGTCAGGTGGAGCAGAAGATTGAGAAGTGAGAGTCAGATGGAGCAGATGATTCAGAGGAGAGGGTCTGCTGGAGCAGAGGATGAAGTGGAGAGGGTCTGATGGAGCAGAGAATGAAGAGGAGAAGGTCTGACGGAGCAATGGAGAGAGGTCTGATGGAGCAGAGAATGAAGAGCAGAAGGTCTGACGGAGCAGATGATTTAGAGGAGAGGGTCTGATGGAGCAGAGAATGAAGAGGAGAAGGTCTGACGGAGAAGAGGATTCAGAAGTGACAGTCAGATGGAGCAGAGGATTCAGAGGACAGGGTCAGATGGAGCAGAGGATTCAGAGAAGAGGGTCAGAAGGAGCAGAAGATTCAGAGGAGAGGGTCAGACGAAGCAGAGGATGCAGAGGAGAGGGTCAGATGGAGCAGAAGATTCAGAAGTGAGTGTCAGATGGAGCAGAGGATGAAGAGGAGAAAGTGAGATGGAGCAGAGGAGAATGTCAGATGTAACAGAGGATGCAGATGAGAAGGTCAGATGGAGTAGAGGATGAAGAGGGGGTCAGATGGAGCAGAGAATTCAGAGGAGAGGGTCAGACGGAGCAAATTATTCAGAAGTGAGAGTCAGTTGGAGCAGAAGATTCAGAGAAGAGAGTCAGATGGAGCAGACGATGAAGAGGAGAGAGTGAGATGGAGCAGAGGAGAACGCCAGATGTAACAGAGGATGCAGAGGAGAAGGTCAGATGGAGCAGAAGATTCAGAGGAGAGGGTCAGACGGAGCAAAGGATTCAGAGGAGGTGATGACAGATCTAGACGGTGAAACATTAGGGTAAATAACAGCTGCTTATCTCTCTGGGCTGGTGTCAGGTTAGTAGAGATGACTCCGTTGCACTTGGAGGCCCCCCCCACTCACAGCTGTCCAAACACTAAACTGTCTCGCGCCACGTTCTCATGTACCAAAGACCATCAACACAAACCTTCTTTACAGTGATATATTACTCATTACATTTTTTCTCATTTGTACAGGACCCTTACAAAAACCTGCATGTTTGAGGCTCTTTGACTGTATAAAGAAGAAAACTAAGGGACAACATACTGTTCAGCTCCGGCCAATTGAAGAAAATCGAGGCTAGTAGTTGTAGTGGCTAATTTGGAGTCAAGTTCCATATTTGGAATTCCGACTGTGCATTTCATGGCAACTAATTAGAAGCAAGGAAGTTGAAGGTAACACCTCTTAGTAATGAGGCTCTATAAGTGTCAAACCTATCACTAACTCTAAAGCTGTCTTAGGGAAAGAAAGCACCTGACTGGTCTGTTATTAATGTTCAAATCATTGTTATTTATGAATTATTTACAGACAAATTAATAAGATAACAACCCTGGGACCGTGTAGAGCAGGTTAAAACAAACTATTAAACTTCAAACCGCTTCAAATGAAGTACTGTATTTTTTGGACTATAAGTATCGACCGGAGTATAGGGCTACGTTCAGAATGCAGGGCTTAACGCTCAATTCCGATTTTTTTGTGAAATCTGATGTTTTTGCGAGGTCGTTCACATTTCCAATTAAATGCGACTTTTATGTGATTACCTGTGTGAACGTTAAATGGTCCGAAAGTGTCCCACATGTGCACTGGAGACACGATGACGTCAACCGCAGTGAGCGTGCTTTGTGTTTATGGAAATTGTCCAAACATGGACACGAGCATTGAGCACCTGGAGATTTTAAAGTTCCTCTCGTACCGGAGCCAGAACATGTACAACTTCCTTGTTTTAAGGAGGAGATTGAGAAGGAGAAGGACGAGGTTTTTGGCTGTGGCGTTTTGTAGGACAGTGTGGATGTGGAGACGTAGCCAAGAGTGGTGAGTGGTGATGTGCTTCGCTTCAGTGACACGGAGTTCATTAACAATTTTCTCCTACTTCAGCGCAGAATAGTGACGTTTGTGGCTTGTTGATGACGTGTAGGTCGAATGAATGCGCTTTGGCTGTTCACACTGAAGTCGCATGTCAAAAGATCAGATATGTATCCGTTTCAGGAGCACATATCCAAATGGTCTGGGTCGCATTTGAAAAAATCGGATCTGTGTCGTTCAGGCTGCAGTCTGAACGCAGCCTAAGTCGCACCAGCCAAAAAAATGCATAATGAAGAAGAAAAAAACATATATAAGTCACACCGAACTATAGACACACTTTTTGGGGGAAATTTATTTTATAAAATCAGAGACCAAGAACTGACATTTCATCTGGAAAGGCAAGTTCTAGTAATAACAATAGAACAGAGAACAACAGACTGTTAACGTCACATATGAACAGTTCTTCAGATAAACTATAACTTAAACAACAGAACAGAACAAGTTTACTGAACTCTACATCTCACTCCAAATCACTAAATCCACTGAATTCTATGTCCTCTGTGTCACTTCTGATCAACTCCGTGACCTCTAGAGGTAAACAGAGCGCCGCTTTTCTCTTCTGTGTAGCTGTCGTCAGACTCAGCATCAGTTCCAGTTAGAATTATTCTGGCCTTTCTGAATCCCGACAGGATGGTTTCGCTTAAATTTCACTCAAAATCACTTAAATAGCAGATACTGATATACAAGCCTAGAGCCTCTCGCACCTCTCAGTGTGAAAATTTTTTATATATATAAGTCGCACCGGAGTATAAGTTGCAGGACCACCCAAACCATGAAAAAAAGTGCCACTTATAGTCTCAAAAATACGGTAGTTCTATTTTTCACATGTACATACGAATAGAAAGTAAGCATGAACAAGACTCAGCTCCATCAACTCTGGGTCCACTTCTGGGTCTTTCTGTAGGAAAGGCCCTCTCTCTGTAACTGCTGCTGTAAGACTTGTCATTTTAGTCTTAAAATTACTCCATCATAATAATGCAAAGCAATGAGTTTATAAGCTTAATTTGATTTTATATTTTATTGTATCTTTCTGTTTTATTTTGACTTATACATTTATTTAATCATGTCTTTTCTGACACCTGTCTCTTGCTATCTTTTTTGCTACTTTGCTACTTTGTGGATCCATAAAGTCTAAGTTAAGATGCTCCAGGCTTATTACACCAGCAGCAGATGTGGCAGAAGACCTTCCAGAAGAAATACTTAGAGAGACTAGACCATTTCATCATCGACTGAAACACCAGAGCGGAGCAAGAGTGAGGCCTTTCCTGTTGTTCACCTGGATCTGGAGACTCTACCTGACCAGTCCTCCTGTTATGGTAAGTCTAACAACAACTAGCATGCTAACGTGTACTGATTCTCAAACAATAAACTGCTTAATAATTAGATGCAGACGGCACACAGCTGATTTACACTGACCTCAAAAGCTGCTTGTACAATATAGCTGTACTGAGGCAAGACAGTTTTGGCTCAAATACATGGAAAACTATCAGCTACAGAGCTACATTAAAATGTGTCCTCTGAGCAGTGATCAGGAGCAGATCTGAGCCAGGATCTTGGTTGGGATTATCTGGACCGAGGGTAAGATACACTAAAAGGCTATTGTTTATCACCTCATTTGAGATGTTCTTGCAACAGTTGGATTGGAGCCTGTCGCTGGTGGAAGTATAGGTCAGGAGGGGTGAAGATCCAGAAGAATTTGGACAGAAATATAAAAGACAAAAGCACATGATCAAGATTTATGAGGCTATTTACAAAGCTACAAATCCCACAAGTCCATGGGGCAGGTCGCCTGGGTCAGGAGAAAGAGAGAGAGAAAGGGAGAGAAGGGGAAATAGGAAGAGGAGAGACAGAGAGAGAGGGGGGAGAGTGAATGAGTAGGGGAGAAGGACAAAACACGATGAGAGGGGAGGAGGAGATTTTTTCTCAAAATACAGAAGCTCTTTGACAGATCTAAGCACAGGCTTAACAGTTCATTAGTTTAACATGATGCTTGCAGGGCTCTGAATCACACACTGTATAAAGACGTGGATGGATGGACTAAGAGAGTGACATGACCAAGCCCCAGGGCCAAAACCATAGACCGTAAATAAGAATGGTCATAGTTAACGCACGAGCCGCCACATTCCATACAGGAAGTGCGCCGGGAGGCTCTTCTGGCTCCTTCTGACCCTGGCTCCCATTGACTTACATTGGTATCTTATGGCCCCTCTCTCTGTGACTGCTGCTGTGAGCCTCGTCATTTTGGTCTTAAAATGTTCGTATGTATCTTGTTCCTAAATCAAGATAGGAACATAAATAAGGGACCAATCAGATGCCTTGATTCCCCGAGGTCACTCCCGCTAGTGTTAGCAACAGGTTTGATTGACAGTTAGTGTGTTTCGTTGCTAAGTATGCCCCGTTCCCGCTTTCTGATGAGAAGGGTGGGCACATTTGATGACCTCAATCATGACCAATGGCACAGATTGGCAGCCTTGCTTCCATCAGTCAGCCACAGGGCAGCTGTAGCTACAGAAGTAGCTTACCACTACTGAGTGTTGAGAGAATGAAGAATGAACTGCAAAATGCTTTGGGTATTTTGAAAGGTGTGATATAAATGCAATGAATAATTAATTAATTAATTAATTAATGAATAAGCGTCGTCTCTTCCACTGTTATGTCGATGCCCTAATGAAGACCTCATGTTCTTCCTTCATTCAGAAATGTGGCTTTTGAAGAGAC